AGATAAATTAAATATTCCAAACTCACAGATTTAAAAGAAAACAAAAACAAATAATGACAACAAAAACTCAGTTCAGTGTTCAGTTTTCAGACTCTGAGATGCACAGGGAATGAGCAAACAGCTGGCTAGACACACACACACGTACACGCACACACTCACACACACACACACGTACTCTCTCACACACAGGAGAGCTGAAAATTCATGCAAGTCAGTGTTGGACTTTTAGCCAAAGTGACAAGTACTAGTATTTTTGTACATCTTGTCAAATAAATACCAATCCTTAAAAAACGCTGATTTTTTTTTCCCGAGATCTAGCTAATCCTGGCCATTTTTGGTAAGTGCTAAAAATCTGAAATGTTAAAGAGAAAAAAGAAAGTGCTTTCTCATAATAGGACCCAAACTCTGGATGCAGACTAAAAGACCTGCACTTAACCATTCAGATATTATCACACACAGGCACGTTCTAAACCACCCAACCAAAATCCAGCTTTCTAATTGAATTCTGTGTCACAAACCTGATATAGGGTCAGAGCCACAAAGTATAGACTGTGAGACGTGCTTGGGCCTTACTCTTAAAACCAGTGTATTTGGTAACTTGATAATCTCAAGTGTCAAAGAGCAGTGTCCTAAAAGCCAGCTCTTCCCTGGGCAGCCCTTACAGTACATGCAGTGTCTACGTTGAGCGAGCTGCAGGGGGAGGCTTGGGCAGTTTACCTGGTGAATTTGATCAGCATGGACAGCAGACTCATCACTCATTCCTGAAAGTTCATCCCCAGTTTAGAGCACCCGATGTATGTGGCCGGCCTCGCTACCCAGAGCCAGGATGCTGGTAAAGCATAGTGGTTAGAAGGACCTGCTTTTGAAAACCTCTGACATGCCTGGATTTGCACCCACCTGCCAGCTGAGTGCTCCTGGGAAAGGCACGGAAGGCTCTGAGCGTCAGTACTTCCAGCTGTCAAATGGAGGGAATGAGCCAGCCCACCACAGAGGTGGTCACGGGGCTTAAGCGCGCTGCCCTGTGTCAAATGCCCAGCAAGCCCCAGTCGCCAATGATGCTGGCTCCATTAGCGAACACCATCCTCTTCCCTCTCCTGTGGGGCTGGGTAGTCTGAGAAGAGACACTCAAGAGACTACTGAAGGAAGAGTGTGCTTTCTGAAGCTAATAACCTACAAGGACAAACATTTGCCCTGGTGGTTAATTTTAAATGTTTAAGCAATTGCAACAAGATACAAACTGATGCTGCAGCCAAGGGTCCCAATAAAAGGGTTGAATAGAAAAGAAAGAGTCTACCCTTTACCATGTTCTTTCAAAGTCTTCTTAGAAACCTGAATATCTCATGACTTCAGAGTACAGATACCAGCTAGCAGCCCCAGCCCTACTCCAGGGTAACCACTGATGTCTGGGTAGTGGCAACTCTCCTGTGAGAAGTGTTAGCAGATGCAAACCTCCTGATAGGACTGTCTGTTTCCTCGTAGGGTTGAAGAAAGCTTCAAAACCTTATTTTGGTCCATCTTTGGCTTGTCTGAAGTGATCTCGGTGGTGCTGAAATATGACCACAAATTCATCGAGAACATTGGCTATGTTCTCTACGGTGTTTATAACGTCACCATGGTGGTCGTGCTGCTCAACATGCTAATAGCCATGATCAACAACTCGTATCAGGAAATTGAGGTAAGACCAGTTAATTGAAAATGCTCTCTCTCCCTGGGCTTAATTTGCATCGCTGTTTTCAGCAATGGGGTAATGACGTCAGAAGCTCATGTGTTATTAAATGTGAAGCCAGAACAGCAAACAACAGACATTTTCCTCGGATCGCTCCAAGAAGCGCTTCCAGTCAACCTGCCATGACACACGGCAGGCACCATGCATGCAATGGCCCAATGAGGGCAGAAAGAAACAGGGTCACGAATCTTTGCTCTTTTACATGTGTCCCCTCAGGACAGCATGCAGGTGACCCATGGCAAATGGGAATGACTGTTTCTTCCACCCTACATTCACTTCTGCCTCTCCCGAGTTATTTATTAAGTACCTACTGTATGCCAAGCCCATGCTAGGCACTGGCGATACAGAGATAACCAAGACACGATCTCTGCCCTTGAAGAGATTCTCACTCAGTCCAGTGAGAGAAAACAGATACATCAATCGACAAATTACGATGCAGTGGGGCCAGTGCACCCAGAGAAGTCCTAGAAGGTGTAGGAGGTGCAGAATAGAGAGAGTGCATGACGATGGGGGCGCCGAGGCTTGCAGAGGTGATTCTTGAAGGCCGTTCAAAGACTGATTTTGCCAGACAGACAAAGGAGTCAAGACAGTATATCAGGAGGCAATTTACCAAAATCTAAAATGCACAAACCGTGAACTATTGATTGCAGCCTTGTTTGGAACAGCAAGAAATGAAAAACAAACTAAATGAGCATTACTAGGAATCTAGTTAAATAGATTATGATGGATCTGAACAGTGGGAAACTGTGCAGCTTTTAAAAAGGATGAGGACTTTCTCTATATTCTGATGTGGAAAGACCTCCAATTATAATGGTAAGTAGAGAAAAGGCAAGTTGCAGAACAATGTATATATTGTACTCTGTGTAGAGAGGAAGAAAAAGGAACACGTATTCCTTTTTGATCATATAATCATTTGAAAAAGAAAACTAACCTGGAAGGGTGCACAAGAAGAGCACAGCAAGGGGCGCCTGTTGAGAGGTAGGGGTTAGAGGTCATGGTGGGTTTCCAGGCTTTCTCTTTATACGCTCTGATGCTTAGAAATCATGTCATTGTTCTACCTATTAAAAGTCAAATAAATAAATGCAACATTAAAACAAAATAAAATGCACTGACCCTTTGACTCAGCAAATCCGTGCAGACATATGATTTTACATAGATGTTCATTACAAGAAAAACTTGGAAATAGCCCATCAATATAGGAATATTTAAATAAACTGATATAGCACAGACTTTAAAATACTGTTTATAAACATTGAGAAAGACCTTTCTGTGCTGACAGAGCAAATCTCTATGATATTGTTAAGTGAAAAAATGCAAGCTGTAGAAAAATATCCATAGGCAAGTCTCATGTACGTAATAATACAAATGTGCAGACACAGAAAGCAAAGGTAGAAATAGGGTATCCTCTGGGGAAGGGAGTGAAACAAGAAAGGAGATTTGAAAGGACTTTCACGTTTGCTTGGTATACCTCTGTACTTAAGTCTTTTGTAAGAAACAATTACCTGTGTACAGAAAAAAATTAAGACTTCCATGTATTTGTTTGCTAGGGCTCCCACAACAAAATATCACAGACTGGGTGGCTTAAATAACAAAAAGTTATTTTCTCACAGTTCTGGAGCCTAGAAGTCCAAGATCAAGGTACTGGCAGGACTGGTTTCTTCTGAGGCCTCTCTCCTTGGCTTGCCGATGACTGTCTTCTTGCTGTGTCCTCACAGGGCCTCTCCTCTGTGTGTCTCTTCCTGTCCTTATGGTGACACCAGTCATATTGGATTAGGGCCCCACGCTTACAGCCTCGTTTAACCTTACTTACCTCTTTAAAGGCCCTATCTCCAAATATAATCACACTCTAAGATACTTGTGGTCAGGGCTTCAACATATGAATTTTAGGGGAAAGCTTTGGTCCATAAAATCCCTCCAAAAAAGAGTATTCTAAACCGTAGGAACAGCATGTGCCAAGGCAGGGAGGGATAAAACAATGTGGTATACTCGGCACTGCGCTGCAAGAGTGTAGACTGAGCAAGAAAAAGAGGTAAGAGGAGAGAGGAAGAGGTGAGCCAGTGTGAAGCCTTAGTCTTAGCCCCCAGCCTCACCGCCCTGCCACCCCGCCACCTACAGGAAAACGCAGCACTGTGTCAGCAGACGAACAACATATATATATATAGATATATAGATATAGATATATTTAAGTGTTTTACAGACTTGGTCACCTATGTGAATACTGAGCTGTTGCTAACTAACCCTCCCTGCCCTCCTGGGCCTCAGCTTCCCCACATGTAAGAGAAACCAGATGGTCCCTGGAATACATGGGTTTCTGGAGCACTCGCCCCAGGTGTTCTGCCCCAGCCTATCGAGCACATTGTGCGTTGGTCCAAATGAATATAACGTGGGAAGTCACGTGAATAGCATGGGTGATGCCCACCAGTTTGGGGCAGGAGTGAGCAAACCCACGGCTTATGACGTCAAGTTATCCACCACAGGGCGGTGCCAGGAGACAGAGAGAGCCCACTGCAGCCCACTGGGCGCTGGGCTTCTCCTTGTCTGGTGAGAGCAAATGTCCCCACCGTCTTACTGGTGATGCGTGTACAAAGACCCTGAGATCGGCTGCTGGGACGTGCCTAGTGTTCATGGTCACGATGAACCTTAATGAAGTACGTATTTGTAAGTTCTTACAGGAGAACACTTATTTATTCAACAGATCTTGAGCACCTACGTCCGAATCCACGGACCTGCCTGCCTCTGTGCCTGCCACGCCCCGCCCCTCACCCCCCGCCATTGCCCTCCTGTAGGCAGATAGGCCTTCTCCCCCTGAGCAGCCCCAGCCATGTGCCCTGGCCCCCTACCCTCTCTCCTCCTCGGGATCAGCCACTGCACATTAGCCCTCCCCACCTACATCCTCACCCTCTCCCCCTCTCTAGCTAATCCTGCCTGTCAGCATTTAAATGCATCTCTTAATCTTTTTTTAAAATAAATTTATTTATTTATTTATTTATGGCTGCATTGGGTCTTCGTTGCTGTGTGTGGGCTTTCTCTAGTTGTGGCAAGCGGGGGCTACTCTGTTGCGGTACACAGGCTCCTCATTGCAGTGGCTTCTCTTGTTGCAGAGCACAGGCTCTAGGTGCGCGGGCTTCAGTAGTTATGGCACGGGGGCTCAGTAGTTGTGGCTCACGGGCCCTAGAGCACAGGTTCAGTAGTTGTGGCGCACGGGCTTAGCTGCTCCGCGGCATGTGGGATCTTCCCGGGCCAGGGCTCAAAACAGTGTCCCCTGCGTTGGCAGGTGGATTCTTGACCACTGTGCCACCAGGGAAGTCCCATCTCTTGATCTTTAAAAAAAAAAAAAAAGTAACTACAAACAATCCTCCCTCCATTTCACTTTCCAGCTCTGAACCTCTTTGTCTCCTGCTCTTTACTGCCTACGAAGAGTTGTTTACACTTCTCACTGCCTCTCCACTAATTAACTGCTACTCTTCTCCACCCCAGCCCACCCGCACTTGACCTGGTTGAGAACTACTCACCCCTTGGATCTCAGCTCAAATGCTAGCCCTCAGGGCAGCCCTCCCTGACCCCCAGGGGCGGGACCTCCAGCACCCAGCGCCTCCCCCAGCTCTTAGCCCAGCTCTAGATACAAAGAGCTGATGAGTTAACACACTCGTGTCATTGGCCAGGCTGCGTGTCCCAGGAGGGCAGGATTGCCATCCCCAGTACCTACCTAGCACAGGCCAGGCACACAGTAGGTGAGCACTAGGTGGGCACACAGTAGGAGGTTTGCTGAGTGACTGAAGGTTGAACATCAGGCAATGTATTAAGCTATGGAGATATAAATAACACTTACTGAGGGTTTACTAAGTATCTGACATTGTTTTTCCCGCATTAACTTCTTTAACTCCCACAAGAGCCTATGAGGTAGGTATTATTATCCTCATTTTACAGATGAGGAAACTGAGGCCCAGAGCAGCTAAGTCACCTGCCATGGTTACACAGCTAGTAAGGAACAGAGGCAGGGTTTGAACCCAGCCAGGCTTCGGAGCCTGTGCTCTCTCCACTGCATCACCCTCCCTCTCAGGTCGGCAGTCCCTCCCACACCTCTCTGCTGTACAGCCGAGATCAGGAACGACCCCTGTCCTCACAAAGCTTCCAGTCTAAACGACCTGTATAGCATGTCCCCATAGAGCAGGCCAGGTGCCGATGGGGTCTCAGTAAGAGCAAGCCTGCTGGTACTGACCTTATACTCTCCTGGCACATCCCAGAAGCCTCATGTGGACCCCTGCTGGGCTCACAACCCCTTGAAGTATAGCTCGGGCCTGTGTGGAGAAAAGCCCACTGCCCACAGCGCACATATTCAGTGCCGACCTCAGGGCTACGGGAAGCAGGCTATCACCATGAGCAGAGGAGCGAGCCCAAGACCACTGCCTACATCACACAGCTAGTAGGGGTCTAGCTGATTCCAAACCCCACGCCTCTTTCCTGGCCTCAGACTGCCCTCCTAGGACAGGGGCCCAAGGAGCCCCCCTACAGAAAACACACACCTGCTACCTCTCAGGGGGGCCCACTCAGCGTTTCTGGCATTGCCACCAACTCAGAAGTAACAGATCTGGGCTTTAAATCTACCACCACCACCACCAGGGAAGAGGGCGTGGCCAGGCTACCTGCTGCCAGCTCATCAGGTTTGCTCCCCTTGAATTACATACACTAGACCTCGTAACATCATTTGACAGCACTCTGACCAATGAGAAATACACTTTCTAATAGGAAACACATGATGGTGTCTGACATGGTAGCCACGAGCCACATGTACTGAGCACTCGAAATGTGGCCAGTCCAAATTGAGATGTGCTATGAGTGTAGCATGCCAATTTCGAGGGCTCGGTATGCCAAGAAAATCTGAGCTATCTCATAAATAATTTTTATAATGATTACATGTTGAAATGATAACATTTTGGATCTATCAGATTAAATAAAAAAACATCACTGATATTAATTTCACTTGTTTCATTTTACTTTTTATAATGTGGCTCTGAGAGAATTTTGATGCCCTTGTGTGGTTCTCCTTTGCGGCTGACGTTATGTGCTGTTGGATAGCACTGCCTCTGATGGTGTGCTGTTATTTTCCTTGCCCCACAGGAGGATGCAGATGTGGAGTGGAAGTTTGCCCGAGCAAAGCTCTGGCTGTCTTATTTTGATGAAGGAAGAACTCTACCTGCTCCTTTTAATCTAGTGCCAAGTCCTAAATCATTTTATTATCTCATAATGAGAATCAAGATGTGCCTCATAAAACTCTGCAAATCTAAGGCCAAAAGCTGTGAAAATGACCTTGAAATGGGCATGCTGAATTCTAAATTCAAGGTAGGTAGCGTGGGACTTATGGGGCTAGAGAGGCAGCAGGAGGGGGAGGGGGAGCTGTGTGTTCGGTTCAGATGGTGCCCCTGATACGAGGGAAGTCAGGAGCCCGGAGGGACCCCGTGCTTTCCAGAATCAGCCAGAGCATCAGCAAAGCTGCAGTCCCAGCGGGGGCAGCCGGCCGGCCGTAGTGCCCCTCCTCCTGCGGGCCGAGCCGGGACCCCACTGAGGGACTCCTTAGTGGACTCGGAAACAGATTAGCTCTTCCCAGAAAGTATCTGGATCATGATGACTGGGAAGAAAGGTTCCCTGCCCATTATCTCCCGCTCCTGGAGATTCTCAATTATTAGCATATTAAAATCTCTGGGGAGTCTTGGAGGAAGGACACCCACATCACTTTAACTGAGTGCTTTCCAAACAAAGCTGACCAAACAGTAATTTGTAACCCACTGACATTCTACAGAACTAGAGGCCCCAGGAACACGTTCTAGAAAGCCAAGCAGCAGTGGGTATAGTGACCTCCTGATGGTCCTCATTTTAGAGACAGCCCCGTATGCAGGTCCTGTTCGAGTCCTAGCATGTATGTATGTACAATCGTGTATAATGTATTATATATTATGTATTTTCTTTTTTTTTTTCCTAGAAGACTCGCTACCAGGCTGGCATGAGGAATTCTGAAAACCTGACAGCAAATAACACTTACAGCAAGCCCACCAGATATCAGGTAACCAACCCTTTCCCAGGTATGGGCAGAAGCGGACTCCATTCAGACAGCGATTTAGTCACATGGCTGTGTCACTCCCCCCAGAACACAGCTTCATTCCTTCCTTCATTCGACAAATATTTATAGAGTGCCTACTGTATGCCAGGCACCATGCTGCTTCCTGGGGATACAGACATGGTTCCTATCTTACTGGCACTTCCAGTCCATAGAGGGAGAGATACAATGAGCAAGTAAACGCACAAATAAATATGTAACTTCAAATTGATAAAAGTGCCAAGAAGAAAACAATCAGATGTTAAAATGGAGAAAAATAGGGAGCCCCTGCTTAGATATGGCTGTCAGAGGATGTATCTTCAAGGAGAGGACAGTTAGCTAAAACCTCAGAGATGAGAAGGAGGCAGCCACGTGGGGCCTTCCAGGCAGAGGAAGAGCAGCAGCAAAAGCTAGAGGGGAGAAGCTTGGTGGGTCCACAGCAGCTAGAGCTCTGAGTAGGGGAGAGGGGAGGGCAATGAGGTCAGAGTCCAAATCAGGGGCCTGGAGCAAGGTCAGGAGGTGGATTTCACTCTGATGTACCCAGGAAGGCAGTGGGAGGAGTTTAACTTGGGGGAGGGAGAAGATGATAAAATTGTATTTATGCTTTAAGAAGACTACCTAACTGCTATAATGAGAAGAGACGGGTGAGGACAAAAGTGGAAGCAGGGAGACCAGTGAGGAGGATGTGACAGTCACCCAGGTACAAGGAATGGCGACTTGGAGTGTGAGAAGGGTGAGGGAGAAAGACTGACTGACTCAATATACGTTTGGGATGCATCGCCAAAGGGACGTGATGCAAACCAGCGGGCGCCGGGTAGGGAGAGGCAGGCACGCAGGATGGCTCCCAGGGATCTGTCTTAAGCAACCAGGTGGATATTGATGTTTCCGGTAAGCACCTGACCTTAGACTGCCAGCAGGCAAAGTCTGTTGTTATAAAAATTAGGAGAACTTATGTGCGTACAGATCTTGCTTTGCTTTTGGAAATTAATGCAAAATCTCTGTATCCGTTTGCATCAGCCAGTGATAAATGGTTATTACAGGTTATTGATTACAAAAGTGCAGGCCATACTTTTCTTGCTTGCCCACTCCCAATGACCAGCAGTTTTACCCATGCTGACCATTTCCTATCGGATGTAAATCTGAAGCTGTCCTGAGTACTCCTTCAGGCCAAGGTGATATGACCCTGGTGCCACCATCCCCGAGGGAGCCATTACAGACTTAGCATCTTCCAGACACAGGTCTCTAATTGAATCTCCATCCATATTTCAGAAGCTAGCTGTGCAGTTAGGAGGAGTTAAGTGTACAATTAAGAAACAGCTCATCCCTCATAGTACTTATAGTTTTAACAGATGACATGGGCTAAAAATTGGCAAAGGGCAAGTCTTGTCTTTAATTGTGCACAAAATTGGACCTGACCAGTTTGATCTGCTTTGATTTATTTTACAGGACAAATCCTTTGGTCAGGGGAAGGATTTTTATTTCTTAGCTTCTCGGAGAGAAGTAGAGATTATCTGTGCCACAGAAAAGATAGAAAACCCTAGCAGGGGCTTCCCTGGTGGCGCAGTGGTTAAGAATCCGCCTGCCAATGCAGGGGACACAGGTTTGAGCCCTGGCCCGGGGAGGATCCCACACGCCGTGGAGCAACTAAGCCCGTGCACCACAACTACCGAGCCTGTGCTCTAGAGCCCGCGAGCCACAACTACTGAGCCCATGTGCCACGACTACGGGAGACCGCGCGCCTAGAGCCCGTGCTCCCCAACAAGAGAAGCCACTGCAACGAGAAGCCTGCACGCCGCAGCTAGAGAAAGCCCGCGTGCCGCAATGTCAAGGAAGGCAACCGATGTGGTGAATGTCTACACCCAGGACGAATCCCTTATGAGCGAGGCCCTGTTCCAGAGCAGTCTTGAGCAATCCCATTTCTGTCTTTCATCATCACTGGCTGAGTCCCTGCAGTCTTCAGTCTCCCGGAGAGCTTCCTGCTATGATTACACAGATTAGCCGGTTTGCAGCTTCAGGCTACTGATGGCCTGGGAAAGCAGGCTCACCCTGTATTTTGTGAATCCAGCAAGAAAAGCCTCGGGCGACTTATTCAAATCGTTATCACCAGAAAGAAGACAGAAAAACTGGGCCAGTGGGCGTCAGAGGGGGAGGGCTGAGAGGACGGTGGATGGAGCAGAAAGCCTCTTGCATTTGTACATTGGCACCTTGCTCAGTCCTTCAAGGTCAAGTCTGGGCATCTTCCTGAGCTATCATCCGCTCAAATAGGAGTAAACGCTGAGTTGACAGACAGGCAGCTGGAGCAGACTAGACACCGGGGCACGTGAGAGAGGCAGGATCCGTGACCCCCACTGAACAGCTGAGGGAATTCAGGCTTCGTGGCAAAGGTCACACGGATGGTTGAAGTGAGATCTGTCTGACCCCATCACGCTGCCAGGGCACTGGCCCCTTACTCCTCTTCACAGTGTCGGAACCTGCCCTGTCTGTGTCGGACAGCCCCTGGGAAGAGCTCTATCTGAGCCTGTGGGGAGGAAGCTAGGAACGGAAGGTGCTTTTGCTATCACGGGGCAGCAACCGGTACGGAACGAAGGATTTGGGCAGGGATCTAAAAATGGCTCAACCGATTTCTTGGGCCCACTGGTGGCCTTCCACGCTGTATTGCTTTCCTCTCAAAGCAACTTCCCAAAGTGCCAAGAATGTGAGGAACCCAGTTCAC